ATACTGAGATTACCGGTCCAGCATCAGGGAGAATATGAACTCTTTGGAGAAGTCCAGCCCTCTGCTTAGGTCCATGTCCATTCTGGCTCTGGAAAGAGCAAGAAGGCAGCTATAGAAAGCTGTGCGTTCTTCGTGGGCTTTGTAAGAAGTATGAGGGAGGGCACAGAGTTTCCAAATATACGTTGGACTAACATAGTAAAAGGCTACAGCATTTAAGGATTTCAGCATTGGAGTCAAGTGACCAAGATCAAGTGCTCCAGTGGTGGCAGCCAGAAATCTGAAGAGAGCCAGATTAAAGCGTTTACTCTGCCATGGAGATCAGGGAGGGCTCAGAGGCCAACGAGTCTATCTGCGGACCCCCTATCCCTTCATGAGGTCATACAAGCTGCACTTCTACCCTTGACCGATATTTGCCTGGCATGCACTGGTCTGGCCACACTGGTTATTTATGGCCAAAATCTCTTCTAATTGATACTGGTTGTTAAATATTATTATTTTCAATATTGTTTTTATACATATCCCATATTTCCAGAAATCATCTTAAAAGGAAAGTCACAACTTTCAAAGATAGAGAATTTTATCTAAAGAGACTGAGCATTTACTTAAGAGACTGCTAAATATTTGGATCAGGCTAAACATACCAGATTGGAATAAAATTAATTTGCCCTTCCCTTTGTCACTAAGGTGGAGAATCCATAAGGGGAATCAGACCCATTCATTGGATATAAACAAACTATATTATTTCTGTATGCAATTCAATGAATTTGTAACTTTGTGTCATATTCTAGTGTAAAGGATACTGGAAAGATCTGAGAACTTCCATTAGCACTTAAATTCATTAGCATTCTAAGTTCCGCACAGGCAGGGATTTTGTCTGTTTGGCTTACTGCTGTATCTCCAGTGCTCAGAATAAGTGTCTGGCACATGGTAGGTGCTCAATAGGTATCCAATGAAGGGATTACAACTATTACATGAGGCCGGCTTGCAAAGTGTCCCCTAAGAATCCCCATAGTTTCAAAAAAGCAGTGTATCCCTAGTGTTATCCATCATAATCTGTAGTTGTCAGCTCCCTCTAGGAATATTATGTTCCATTTTAGGCACCAAAATTTAAGAGGGGCATTCATCAATAAACTAGAGAGGATCCATAATGGGGCAGGCAGGACAAAAGGATTCTGAAAACTACCCCAAATAAGGAACAGCTGATACTATTTCAGAAAAAGTTATTATGAGAGATGTGATGCTATTTCTGAATGTTAGAAAGGCCTTCATCCAGGACAAGTCCAAAATAAATGTATGATTGCACATTCATAATTAGACCCAATGGGGAGAAATTACGAATGGGCAAATTTTGGCTCAATGTAACAAAGAAACTTCTGACTCTAATTTTCAAATAATGGAATAGATAGTTAATTAAATATTGGTTGTATGTTGTCAAACAAATATAAAAAAGGATCATATTTGCAAAAGCACTCAAGAGCTTCATCAGTTTTGCCTAGGGCTTTTCTTAATCCTTTGCTATTTCAATGATTAATTATTATATCAGTAATAACATAAAGCAATATCCTTTATCTTTTGAATGGCTTTTATTATAAAATTGGATCAGAAAAATTATCTTCCTCAGAAAATAGTAAACATTTTATTTTGTGATTCTATGAATTATACAATTGCTGCCAACCTAAATGTCATTAAATATTAAATGAAAAAAAAAGTCTCATAATTTTGCTGTTATTTTTCAAAATGAATTTTAAAAGATTTTCTCCCCCATTTTGTGAAATTTGCTCTTCATTTCGAGTAGTCAGTTTTAGTGGCCTAATTATCCTCCAATAATGCAAAACTCCTGGATCTCTCTGTTTCTTCTACCGGGAATGCTGTTTTCTCTTAGTTTTGTCAAAAATGGACAAAACATTATCAACAAATGCTACATGTCTCCTTGAGCTACCCATAGGACTTCAAAGGCACCATCCCTTATTTGCCACCAGGACATTGTAAATAATCGATGAATAATTCTTCATGCATTCACTGTTCGTCTGTTCATTTGGGCTTGCTAGCCATGAGAATGACTCACTTCCTTGCTTCATGGAATCTGTAATCCTGTCGTTATTCTGAGTCAACAAGTTATTCTCATTAATATGTTCAGTGCAGAAACATCTTTTTATTACAAATGTGATATTTCCTCATTGTAGATGAATTCACAAAATGAGAAAGAGATAAAGAAGAAATCAGATGTAACCTTACCTATAGAAATAAAAGCTGATGATATTTGGTAATGGATGCTTACAGACTTTTCTTCTTATGTGTACTTATAGTACATGTATTTATACATTTGTACATTATATAAATACATACAAATTGTATACATATATACAAACATATATTCATGAATTATGTAAGCATAGACATTTAAAAAAGATATTTATACTACACATACTATTTTATAAATTGCTTATTTTACAGATATTTTAAAATAAATATAGATCTGCTCTAGCCAGTTGCTCAGTGGTTAGAGCCCCAGCCCAAGGACTGAAGGGTCTCTCAGTTCGAGTATGTGATGTGTCTCTCTCACATTAATGTTTCTCTCTCTCTCTCTCTCTCTCTCTCTCTCTCTCTCTCTCTCTCTCTCTCTCTTCCACTCTCTGAAAAGCAATGGAAATATCCTGGGATGATAATTAAAGTAAAATAAAATAAAATTAAAATAAAATAAAATAATNCTCTCTCTCTCTCTCTCTCTTCCACTCTCTGAAAAGCAATGGAAATATCCTGGGATGATAATTAAAGTAAAATAAAATAAAATAAAAATAAAATAAAATAATAAAATAAAAGAAAATAAAATAAATATAGATCTACCTAGTAAGAATGACTGAAATGTATTTCATTATTTGTACACGCCATAATTTGTTTATCAAATTTTCTACCTTTGGTATTTAGATTGCTTCTTATTTTTTTTACTATTATTAAAAATGTAGCATCCACACACATATTTTTATTCATTTATCTTTTTTTTTCAGGACAAATATTTTATACCTTGTTAAGCTTGAAATTTTATCTTCTCAAGAACTTAAAAATGAAGAATACTAACAAAATATTTTAAACATTGAAAAAACAAGCAAAGCTAATCTACATTGTTAGATGTCAAGAGAATGGTTGTCACTGGGGTCAGGTGTATACTTTGATTGGAAGGAGACGTATCGGGGGTTTTACGTATACCTGAACTACATTAGTCCCCCTTTATCCAAAGTTTCATTTGTCATGGTTTCAGTGAACAGTGGTCTAAAAACATTAAATGTAAAATTCCATAAATAAACTATTCATAAGTTTTAAATTCTCGCCATTCTGAGTGGCACACTGAAACCTCCCACCACCCCGCTCCAAGCTGCCCAGCATGGGGCTCACCCCTGTGTGCTAAGTATTCACACTGCGTATGATCCCCACCCATTAATAACTTAGTGGCCCTCCCAGTTATCAGATATATTGGGGGGGGGGCTACATTCACATATCTTTCATTATAGTATATTGTTACAATTGTTCTATTTTATTATTAGTTATTATTGTTAATATCTTACTGTACCTAATTTATAAATTAAAGTTTATCAAAGGTATGTATGTATTGGAAAAAACAGTGTTTAGTAATGTCCTGTTTCAGGGATCCACTGGGGGCCTCAGGATGTATCCCCTGAGGAGAAGGGGGGAGTATTCTATGGGGGTGGATTACACAGTTATGTTCACTTTGTAAAAATTCAACGAGCTGTACACTTGACTTGTCAACTTCTACTTTCTTGTAATTATCTTACACATCAATGCAATAAGTTAAAAATTGTGTTACGATTTGCATCCATATTTTACATCCTTTGGTAAACTCTAAGAATTAAATGCTGTTATAATCTTAAATTTGGACTCTCACCAACAGTACATAAATATGATATTTTTTACATTCAAATTAATACTTATTATCATTTTTCTAATTTTTAATGATTTATAAATTTTAAAAATTGAGTATTTTCCTAACTTTTTATTTGAAAAAATTTCAAACTTAGAGAAAAATAAAAAATAATAATATAATGGACACTCATAGATCCTTCATTAGATTTGCCAACTTTTTGCTAAATTTGCTTTCTCTTTCTGTCTCTATTTACACACACACACATCCATGTATATATGTGTGTGTATGTATATATATTTATTTTTGAATTTCTGAACAAATTGCAAAGAGTTTAGACATCATGACAATTTATTCCTAATGTATCAGTTAAGAATAAGAATATTCTTTTAAATAACCACATATGTTTACCATACCTTTAAAAATGAGCAATCATTTCACAGCATCAAGTAATATGTAGTCCATATTCATATTTCCACGATTGTGCCTATATGGTCTTTTCTAACTGACTAAAAAAATACATGATTAAATAAAGTTCATTCACTCACTGAATTTAGCTTTTTTGCCTCTTTGGTCTCTCTTTACCTAAAATAATCCCCAGTCATCATCATCATCCCACTCTACTTTCCTCCGTGACATTGAAAATGTTCAAGTCTAGGTCACTTGCAAACTTTCCGTTTGTTTTCAAATGCGTGTGACCATGCCTGATTTTGCAGAGTTATATTACAGAATTATTACAGCTTTTCAGAAGCACATGTATCCAGCAACTGGAACACATTTTTCTTTGGGGCTATTGGTTAAACAGAGCAAGGCTGGACCTCCAGTTGGGCACCAGATGTTTTCACTGAGGGAAAAAGAAGCATTAAGAGCTTTTAAATCTCACATGATTACTTTGATCATATAACAGTGACATTTCACTCTCTGAAATGGACCGCGAGGGTTTTCCTTCGCGCTGGCAGGGTATATTATTCGAGAATCAGTTAATATAGAGCTAGTTTTAAAGACCTGAAAAGGCAGCGACAGCCAAGAAGGGTATTTTGAAGTTAAAAATGATCCCTATATAAATAGAACGGATCAGCATAACTTCGGGATAAAATTAGCCGACACTTTGTGGGCCCTGCAGCATGTGCCCGGGCGCTTGGTGCGCTCTCCTGATAAATCCCAGCGAAGCTGAGGGAGGCAGAGGAAGGATGGACGGCCCCGCTCTCCCGGCCGCGGCCTCCGCAGCTGCCAGGCTCCTTAAGAGAAACTTCCTCGAGGCTCTAAAGTCAAATGACTTCGGGAAACTGAAGGCCATTTTAATCCAAAGGCAAATAGATGTGGACACGGTTTTTGAAGTTGAAGATGAGAATATGGTTTTGGCATCTTATAAACAAGGTAAAAATTATAGGTGTAATTGGTAACATTGACAAAAGATGGATATTTTTTAATGCACAGCGTCAGCCACCCAATCTCAAATCAGCAGCGCTATTATTTAAGTGTGCACTTAAAAAATATTTCTAATTTAATCTTTTCTTTTTCTCTTAAACTAGATCGCGATACAGGTCGATATATATGTGTACATATATATTTTTTTTATTGTGTTTTCTTCTCTGTCTTTTTAATTTCTCTGTTCCTGCCCCTGGAATCTGAAATCCTGGCCAATCATATTTAGTAATGCACTTTCCCTCTATTTCTAACTTTTCTTCTGCCTGAAGTGACATAGAATAAAGAAAACATCTCTAGACTTTGGCTAAAGAGGTTGCTCAGATTTAATCCAGATGGTCTGACTGGCTCGGGGACAGGCAGATAACTCTCTGTTAACACAGCCACTTAAAGATATATCATCTCTATGCCCACCTCGATCAGCAGGAGGATTTTGGGCCCCCATTTGGAGAGCTAACGAGTGGGTAGGGCTGCGCCTTGGTGCACTTTGACGGTTCTCATCCTTTTAATGAGCTTTCACGTTAGGCAGGAAAGCTGAAACCGGATAAAACAAAAAGTGAACTTTTTCCCTTGAATAAACAGATTAAAACGGTAGATGTTCTTAGCACAGATTATCTGCCTTATGAAGATCTAAGGATGACAGCAAATCAGAACTGACTGTTTTTCAATCAAGGGATTTTCTGGAACTCGTGCTTAATGAATTAGAAATAAATTAGGAGAGTACAGATTCTGATTTCCCAAATCAGCTAGTTATGGGGGAACTTGAGTAGCGAGGCCATCTGGTGAGCGGACTGCAAACAAACACCATGTTCAACATCACTTCTGTTTAAACAAAATAGATGATAAAAGGTCTTGTGTGTGGCCTTTAGAGAGAGGCAGCAATTCTTTTTTCATGTTAAGATGCTTTCCACTCATATAGAAATCATCATCAAGTTTCGGCAACGAATGCTAAGAGTATATTTCTGCATTAATTTCTTAAACACTCTGCGAGTTCTGAAGGATAGAATATTCAAGGCCAGTTACTGTGTTTATAATTTTTACTCGAAGGCTTTATAATCAATTAGCACGGCTATTTTGACTGGAAGATACAAAAGAGTTCTGTTTTTTAAAAAGTAGTTGATAGAGGGCTCTGTTAAAAAGAAAGAGTGGATACTATAGAGTGAGGTTACTTTCATCACATGAATGTGTTCGGTGAAAGACGGTCTGAATGTTCAATACATGTTTAAGGGTTTTTTTAAAAACTCATGTTTGTGCCCAATGTAAAATAACTTAGGTCTAAGTCAGTGGGTGATTCGGTTGCCCCTGATTACGAAGCCTGCCCTTTCTCATCTCCTGATCACGCGAAGGCTCTGAGGCTGTGAGAAAGGAAGTTTTAGGGCCAGGCTCTGGGAAGAGGGGTGTTGCTTCTCTTGCTTCCAATGGAGTCATCACCCCTGATTGAGAAGAAAATGCATTTTAAATTTTTTTCTGTCAGCATGAGCCGACTCCATGGTCCTCATAGAGCTGAACGGGTGTTTCCATAGAGTTTGGACTGTGGGATGTGGCTTTCAATGAGGGAGACAGCAAATTACTCCCCAGGGAAAGGACAGGAACAGTTCCTTTGTATGCACCCCAGGTGGACATATGCGCAGGAATAATAGGATTTATGGTCATATCTTCAGGGTGCATGCAGGAAACTGTGTGTGTCTGTGTGCATGTGTGAGTGCACATGCACACGTGTGTGTATAGAAAGAAATACCCTTCCTCTCTGTTTGATATGGATACGGGTATAACCTGAAACCTGAATTAAAACCTCACCTTTCTTCAAAGTTTCCTCAAAGTTTTTCACACATCTTCCAGCCTCATTATCAATCCTTTAATATTTCAGTAAGGGTGGAAATGATAAATAGAATCCCAGTTGTTAGCCAAGCAAAATAGACCAAAGTGGTTATATCAATTTCTTAAGTCACAGAGGAATTCCTAGGGAACAGCTGAGCAGGCCACACTAGTGAGTGAGTGAGTTAGTTAGTTAGTTAGAGTGCAGTTCCCTTCTGAATGATCCTAATGAGACGTGTTTTGTGTGTGTGGCCTCGAAGATTATGTGGTTGGGTTAAGTTTTGTGAGACTTTATTAAACTACAGTGGACTTCTTGGATGTTGAATTGTTACGCACTAGTTTTTTTAGGTTTTTATTTTTTTAAAGCACTTTTGAAAAACTCTATGCAGAAAAGTGTACAAATCATAAGTGTGCGGCTTGATTAATTTTCACAAAATAAACAAACCTATGTAACCAGCATCCAGATACGAAAACAGAGCATTACTTGTTTACTTTTAAAGTCTGAGAATCGTCCTTCAGGTTTCAGTTAATTTTGGCTTAAAATAAGGCAATGTGTAAAACCTATAGCAGATACCATGCTACCTTTAAATTTGCTCCTGTAATTAATAATATAATCTATCTTCAACATTTGATTGTCCTGCAGAAAATCAACAGCCGCACAATTAATCCCAAACCATTTTTATTTCTTTTAGGACATATTATAGCACTTTTCACGGGATTTCTGAGAGTGACCATATTTCCCTCCTAAAGATAGTATGTCTAAGCCAGAATGAAAGTTAGGTTATAATTTTTGGAAAGGTGACTCAGAATTCTATTGGCAAAGAAATCAACTTGGGATGTAAACATTGCTCCCTCAAATCCACACAATCTAATTGGCACACCAGCAATCAAAAGTTGACCTCCTAAGCAAATTTAGAACCAAGCATCTGAAAATTCACTTCTGCTTCCCCATCTCATTGAGCAGCTTCTCTTTCCCGTGTGACAGAGAACAGATTTAGAAGCCAGCTTCCAGAACTCGGGTTCACACTGTGGGTCCTGCCTCCCCCAGCACCTCATCATGATTCTTAAAGTCATATCTCACTGTATTGTTTCAAGTTGTTTTAAACTTCACAATCCAATCTTCAGATAAGGTCATATTTTATTAATTAAAAAAACTCCTCTCACATTTTGTAAAACAAACATCGAAAACTTTTTGGTTGCCATTTGAGATATCTACTAGAGAATGGCAGAGATATGGGTCTTAAAAGCAAACACAAGTAAGCAAAATGACATCTCCCAGATGATCACTTTAAAATGGGAATGATGAGAGGAAAAGTTAAACACATGAACAACTTTTTAACTGCTAAATGCAACAAATAGTTGAATAGTCCAAGGATGTTAATGATACAAAGTTTATTATATGCCAAGAACGCAGTATTTAGAGTGAAAGCAGGGTCTCTAAGAAGACTCAAAGCTCTTCGGATTAGTTCTCAGAATAGTGGAAAAGTGAACATCTATAAAACCGTTTCCAAAGGTTTTCCAACTACACATGTCGATCTTCGTTCAGATGTATGAGTCTAGGCTTATAAATGACCTAGGCAGAACATCACACTTACCTCTTTGGGATAAAATTCCCTAGTCAGCAAGGCTAATCAGAGTCCTTTTATTAATCAGTTAATGCACTTTAAGTACTTTGTTTATGGCCACAGCCACAGGTTCTTTGGTTGGTGGTGATTTTTTAATTAAAATAACCAATGAATGATTTCACTGAAAAACTTTCTGGCAAGTACTCTGTCTACTTTACTAAGTAGCAACTGCCATCCAAATACCTTAAATGCTCTTATTTCCACTCTCTTAATGAATAATCTCTTTTTCACCTAATTTTCCTCTTTGCCAGAAATTCGCTCTCCTGCTCTCCTATGACCATCTTAGGGTTCTTTTCCATTCTTTGATGTTCAAATTCTTTTTGTTTCAATTTTACATGTCAAGCTTATTGCCCCCCCACCC